TTTGTTTTGGTCCTGTTTTTTTCGTTCCTCATAAAAAAAGCATTTTTAATGGTATTATGAAAAAAAAAAAAATTTTGACGAACTTTGAAAAAAAAAACAGCATTTAAAACGTTTTCAAAAAATTCACCGATTTTTTGAAAAATTCAGTGATTAGTTGCCGAATTGCTAACTATGGTTACCACCGCTACCCCCCCTTCGCTCTCTGAATTAAGTTCCTCTCTGGTAATATATGTTGTAGAAGTATATTCGCTTAAACGTAATTGAAATCTTTGGTATAAATTATTGTTTAGGATTGTATATTGTAAAACTATTTATTTTTGGTACAAGGAGATTACAATCACTTCTAATCATTGAATGTAAAACTCGACAATCACAATCATTAAAAGAGAGAGGAAAGATTAATTCTTTTTCTAAATACAAGAGGAACCATTAAGTCCAGGGAAATTTATCCTAATATCCTTAAACAGTTTACCTACTTAACACTGAGCAATGATCCAATGCAACGGTTGTATTATAATATAATGGGAATACACATCTAAAAAACCATGTTTGTGGTATTTGTATGATCCCAAATTTTACACACACACACTCTTCATCTCAATAATCAGTCCAAAAAAAGAAAAAAGTTCAATTTGAACCTTAGATATGGTCAAAATGAATCCCCTCCAAAAACGAATCTAGACTATTCATTTTGTGAATATCAAGATCTTAACCTTTATGAACTCAAAATCATTTTTTCTTTTTTTAACATTGTTCATCTAAAGACAATAAAGCCATATAAAAAAATTGGAAATGAAAAGCTCTTTCTAAGGCCTAGAACTAAGCATCTCACCAAAATGAACAGCCTATGCTAATTGGGCTTAAAAAATACTTTCTATGTTGTGTTTTCAATTTTTTCTTTTTTTGTGATTGTTCATTAGAATAAAAAGAGTGTATATTTCAAAATTTGGATCAAACAAATGGCCATAAGATGATTTTTTAAGATCATTGCATCATATTACTATACAACGATTGCATGAAATCATTTCCCCTTAACACTTCATCTCAAAGTGTAATAAAATCATTTCCCCTCAACAGTTTATCTCAAGCGTAACAAAATTTCAAAACTCATTTTGATGTGTCATTTGACGGGCTATTTGAATTTCAATTCGAAGAATGACACAATGTATTTGACTATCGAAAGTATGATACGCGATTTGAAATCAGATACAAAAATATGAATAAGATATTAAATAGTCCAAATTTTAAATATAGTTTCAAAAAAATTTCCTGCATAAGTCGGGGTGGGGATTCCCTTTAGACTAAAGAGCCCTTCTTTTGTGACTTGGGTGTACCTCTCTCATCCTTGTCTCATCTGGTCCAAAATTAAGAGTCTTTTTGGCATTATAAAGTCGTACTGTTTTTGGTGGAAATTTATAAAAAAATGGGTCATTTATCCAAATCCTCCTAACATGGGAACTATTTAATATTTTACCTTAAATATGTTTTGATAAATTGCCAAACCCATTTTCACGTGTCATTTAATGGGGCTATTTGAAATTTGATCTAAAGAGTGATGGTTTAAAATAAAAAAGAAAAAGTATGGGTAAAATGTAGGCTAATTGAAATTTGATCTAAAGATGGTTTAAAATAAAAGAGAGAAAATATGCCAAATAGGTCAAATTAAGTGTAGGTTGATAAATTTCTCTTTTTAGATCCATCTTTGTGGGTTATTGTTGCTTTTGGGGATTAGCTATTTGTTTTTCGAGGAGTTAACTGCCCTTGCAAGTTTTGAGATGAATGCATTGAGTACTTTTCTAATGACCTAAGATGAAATGGTAAAGAAATGTTAAGGAAAGCGTGCACATGTTAACTAAAGGGACCCGATGCTTTGCACGAACATATTTTTTTGGATAATTGAACCTGACACCCATTATCCTTCTATGTGCAGTGGAGTGCAGCGGAGTTGATTGTCTTTGTACATGACACCGATTATGCAAGTTGAAGAGTCGACTAAATGTTGCAGCCAAAAACACAGGGAGGGAGGCTATAACAGTAGGTAAACAACCCTTTGTGCTACTACTACGTATCAATAATGAAATGCTTCATCTTACAGTTGTAAGAGTCAATTTGTGAAGTTAATACGGAAGACATACCAGAATGGAAAATCCACAATGAAAAAGAAAACCATAAGGAAGACTGAAATTCATAACAGATGAAAGAATACATACACCCAGAGAGAGGGAGAGAGAGTAGCTTCCATGAGAACTCTTGAGAGAGAGAGAGACGGTGAGGGTGTCACATGCAAGGCCTTTTGATTGAATTGCAGTCACATAAAACCTATAGAGAGGGGGAGACACATGAAGGAGCTCAATATGTAAGATATTCCTGATCATGTTATTCCTTATTAACACCTTAAGGAGAGACGTAGACTCACATGAAAGAGCTCAATATGGAACATTCTTGGGGAGATTTCTTATCACATTATTCTTCATTCCAACCCTTGTACGGAGGGCTTCAACTCCTGACCTGTGCATCTCCTTCAAAACCTTCATCCTCAAAACTCGTTCTTTTGACTGCACAGTCACCACACCCATGTTCTGATACCTGCCTAACATTAACATGTGAATCAGCATCAATTCCATGCATTTCCTCTTACCACTAGAACTAAAATACAACTACGTACCACTGAACTACAAGGAAAAAAATCACAATTTTGGATTTTGGACAATTTTGCCATCACAAAGCAAAAATTTAAGAACCCAAATTAATGCAGCAACAATTAAGCAACATATCAAGCCAAACTCAGTCCAGAATTGAGTAATAGAGCATCCCAATGCTTTATACTGTAGCTAAAATTTGAGCTCCAACATATTGAAAAACCAAAACTTTGAAACTTTACAAGAGTTGAGAGAGAGAGAGAGAGAGAGAGAGAGAGAGAGAGAGAGAGAGAGAGA